GAGCGGAAGCGGGAGCTGGAGCGGGAGCAGACGAGGGGCATCACCATTTCGGGGAGGGAGTTTGAGCGAGCTTCGAGCTTGATCCTGTCCTTCCAGACCTCCACCGCCGTCTCATCCTTGTCGCAGGACTGCAAGACTTCCTTCATCTGCTGCTTCAGCTGTGCTGCTTTCTCCTGCACTGAGAGCTGCTCCTGCTGCAGCGACCTGAACCAGGATGAGAAGGGAAGGGATGCGGGGCAAGTAGGAGGGAAAACAACAGGGAGTCGAGAACGGGAGGGAAAAAAGGAGGAGAAGAAGGAGGGGGAAGGAGAAGGAGGAGGAGGAGGAGGAGGAGGAGCAGGAGCAGGAGCAGGAGCAGGAGCAGGAGCAGGAGCAGGAGCAGGAGCAGGAGCAGGAGCAGGAGCATGAGCAGGAGCATGAGCAGGAGCAGGAGGGGGGCCAGGAGGAGGAGGAGGAGGAGGAGCAGGAGCAGGAGCAGGAGCAGGAGAGGAGCAGGAGCAGGAGCAGGAGCAGGAGGAGGAGGACCTTGCAAAACTCTGGAGATACAAGCTTGCTATCCTCGAGGAGGCAGGAATTGCTCGTCGAGCTCGTTTGAGCACCTCCAACTCGTTTTGATCCGAAGAGGAAAGACTCTTTCTGCTCCTTTTCTTGTCTCCCTTCCTCCCTTCCCCCTCCTCTTCGCTCCTGACAGCAGCAGCGAGCTCGATGAAGATAAGCTCCGACCTGCTCCCGTCTTCCTCCGCATTCTTGATTGCCTGGTCTTCCATGAGATAGAGACGAGAGAAGGAGAGGAGGAGGGAGGTACAGAGATGAAAACTGCCGGATGGGAAACAGAGGCTGGTAAAGCAGCAAGGACCGTAGTACCAGGAGGAGGAGCAGGAGCTTGAGAGTGGAACAGGGAAGAAAAGGATGTCGAAATAGGGAGAAAGAGGGGAATACGAAGGGAGGAGGAGGAGGAGGAGGAGGAGAAGGAGAAGGAGGAGGAGGAGGAGGAGGAGGAGGAGGAGAGGGAGAGAGAGAGAGAGAGAGAGTACGTACGTACGTACGTACGTACGTACGTACGTACGTACGTACGTACGTACGTACGTTACGTTAC